TTAGTCAGGCATAAGCATTTCTTCCTTAACTATTTCACTGCTGATAAACTGCTTAGAGGGAACGCTATTCAGGAACCCACATTTCAATCTGTGCGAGCTGGAGTTATGGGAAATCCTTGGAAACATCTCGGGGAAGAAACATTTGTATCAGTAACATGGGTCAGCAGCTTCCTCTTGTTTTATTTCTGTTTTCCGGAGATTGATTCTGTAAGAGCATGAAGCACTGGAAGGGTTAATGGATCCACAGTTTATTCACAGAGGATGGATTTTCCCAGGTTCCTGGGCCTTGCAGCTCTTATCTCCCATCCTCCTGCATGAGCCCAGCTGCACTCACAAGCTGTCCCTCCCTCCTACTGACTAACCTGCTCTCTCCCACCTGCAGCTGCTATACCAGGCTATGGGCTGTGCTGAATGAGAAGGTGGCAGCTCTGTGATAAATGAACAAGAATCCATTGTTTTTACAAAGAAACAAGGTTTCTGCCTCTTGGATAATAAAGGTTTATTTTTATAAACACTTCGAGCAGTACTTTGTGTCTGTCTGGGATGAGGGAGTAAAATGTACAGAACTAGTCTGTAACAGCAAATGAAACTCCCCACAGCCGGTACAGCCTTTTAACATCACATCAATTACAGCAACAGTGGCTATGGTCTTATAACGCTATGGGCACTGTCACTGTTTTATTGTCAAACTGTGTAACAATAAAAGGGGCTCTACCTGGCGCCCATAATATCCCTCTTGTTCAGTCACTCTGATAAAGAGGAAATTCAACTTATTAAAGGTAACTCCACGCAGCATAAACCACTAGAGCCCACTGTGGTGGGTATTATACCCAGGTGCACATCCCTTGAAGGGGCAGCCTTTCTTGCTATGGTCAGCCTTTTAATCTGGGTTCTGCCGGGCACTGAGCTTCTTCTCTGCTGAATGGCACTCATCTTCTGCGTTCACTGGCTGAGTGCATCAGCTGTGTGAATGAACCAATGAGCAAAGAATATATACAGAATTAACATTAGGACCAACCCCCAGCGCTCACAGACTATTCTATCTTTACCATCCGGGTTGGACAGAAATATACTTTCCACATTTAGTTTAGAAAAAATGTCGCCTTAGAGGGGATATGATAACATTATACAAATATATTCCAATACAAACCATTGTGTGGAAATCTATTCACAAACCGGACTTTACATAGGACATGAGGTCATGCGTTTAGACTGGAAGAAAGAAGATTTCGTCTAAGGCAAAGGAAAGGTTTTTTTACTGTAAGAACAATAAGGATGTGGAATTCTCCGCCTGAAGAAGTGGTTTTATCAGAGTCCATACAGATGTTCAAACAGCTACTAGATGCATACTTGCAAAAACAGAATATTCAAGGATATAATCTTTCAATGTAGGGTAATAACTGCTTGATCCAAGGATAAATCTGACTGCCATTCTGGGGTCAAGAAGGAATTTTTTTCCTAGCTTGTTGCAAAATTGGAAGTGCTTCAAATTGGGTTTTTTTTGCCTTCTTTTGGATCAACAGCAAAAAACAAATGTGAGGAAGGCTGAACTTGATGGACGCAAGTCTCTTTTCAGCTATGTAACTATGTAACATTAACAGTGCAACCAGAGAAGGGACAGAAGAGGTAATGGGTGCATGGATGAGCTCCATGTTTTGTCAAACTACTCCTAAATAAATGGGGGGTGGTCCCCATAGACATTTAACACATATTCACTAGACTTGTTTGGACCAATTTATCCAAATCAAATTCATTTTAATCCACACAGGATTACATTTATTTGGGATTTTTCAATGAATTGGTCTCCACAAGCAAATCCAGCCTGATCGATTATTTCAGAAGTGGATTAAAAGGAATTCGATTAGAATAAATTTCCTTCTGCACAAGTTTAATGTCCACTACAATAAAATTTAGTGGTTATGGTATTTAAAGGGACATGCTAGACACTTGGGCAGCTGTTACCTTAACATTTAAATAGTTTATTTTGCTTAACAAGTCAAGTAATTTTTTTCTTTAAAAAAAATAAAAATTAAGTAAAATGGAAACGACCAGTTCCTATTAACTTGTCAAATTGAGACATTCATGGATTTTAATGAATGTAGTCCTTTTCGCTCCACACATTCGTTGTACAGGCTGCATACTATTTTCTTAGCACATGCACAGTGCATGTTATGAAGTCAGGTCGCAGGGAATGCAGCTTGTGACATCATGAGGGACAGATAGCTTTCTTGTAATTTGCAGTAGCTATAACAAACTGCATGATGGGAGACAGGAGCTTGTTGCACCATAAGCTATGCACAGATGACTAGGGATAGTGTTGTGAGATCCACCATTTCTGTCCTGGGCACATATCAGTTATGCTGATGGGGAGTCAATGAAAATTGCTGCTTTACAGTATCTAATATTTATTTACTAGAAGAGGAAAATCAATGTAATAAAGGAAAACTCCGCGCACCATAACCACTACAGCTCACTTGTGCTCTCCCAGGGCAAGTAGTCAAATGTTCTCTAATGGTTTAATGATTTACCTGTGGTCCCCCGCAGAGATGATTATGTGGGTGCACAGAGCCCTGGTGCTCTGTAGATAGAGACACATCGGCGTTGAGTGCAGCGATAGGTCTCCCCTCATGGTAAAGTCATAGGCTCCACTCCTTGTGTTAGACTTCGCCCCTCCCACTAGGCTCCAGGCAGCAGAGCTGGAAAGCAAAGATTATGACACCTCCTGGCATATGGATGTGTGTTGACAAGCTACAACATGGCATTGGAAGGAGAAATGGCACTGGTTAGTCATTTTGGGACAAAGATAGCACTGAAACTATTTAGGCACAAGGATGGCATTAATAATATATTTGGGCTCAGAGATGGCATTGGTAAGATATTTGGGCACAAAGGTGGCACATGGAAGCTGTATGGTGACAGACAGATGGCACTGGGAAGCTGGGCACAAAGATGGTACTGATAAGCTGTATGGGTACAGTGATGGCACTGGGAAGCTGTATGTTGACAGAGATGGAACTGATAAGCTTTTTGGGTACAACGCTGGCACTGGAGGAAGTATGTGACATGTTACGTGTTGAAGTTGGGGGCCACAAAGAGGTGGAGTGGTTTCCATAGTAAATGGATGTGACTAGAAGTATGTTTGTAAAGGGGAAGAGTTAGCAATATAGCCATGCCCCCCAGGGGGCACCAAAAATATTCTTGCACCAAGGCGTCAGTGACTCTAGGATTGGCCCTGGTTCCCTGTGTGCTGTCTGCCTCCTCCCAAGGCGCTGTTTGCTCCACTGAGATAAACCCTTCCGTGCATGGACAGTTAATTGGCTGAAAGCATTAGCTGAGTACACTCAGAAAATGAGCTAAACAAGAAATAATTAAATGGTCATGGTTACAATATTGTAAATGGTACATCTGATGGCTGGCAGAGGATCTTGGGAAATGAATTCCAGCTGGTGTACCAATTGTGGACACCTCTGTTTTAATTTATAAATAAAAGCTGGTTGGTCTGCACAATTTATCTTGCATGTTTTAAAAACAACAAAAAGGTGAATTATATTAATTGTGCAATGTAAAATACTCTATCTAAATCGTGCGTCTTCAGATAGATTGTGTATGAGTATAGCACCCTCCAGTGTACAATTACAGTATAGCACTTCCTCAATTAAACAATATTAATATGAAGTATATTTTTTCAAATTGAAAAATAAATCAAAAATACATTTTATTTTTATATATAATTTTCATAAACAGAGCACTATATCAGTACAAGAGATAGTTAGCGTTGTTACGTACTAGTTTTAAGCAAATAAAAGAAAAGGAAAAAAAGGATCTGCTGAACTGAAAATAACTTAATAAATAAGAAATATTGAGCAAATTACATACCAATTATACTGGAACAACCACAAACATAAAAAAGATCTAAACTGAAAAAAGTAAGTTATTCTCTAGAAAAATATTAGTTGAAATACGGTGCACAGAGTACTAATGGTGACTGGAAATAATACATTCACGAAAGCTAAGAAAAAAGGGTGGAAGTGGTTTAACAAGGGATTATGCAAAGACTAGAAACGTTGGGCTCAAATGGAAAAACGTATAGAATGTTATGTCGTACTATAAGATGGAACGGAAATGTGAGGGTTGGATTTTCAAGGCCATTAATTCCCATATTTTAAGGTAGTGCAATTAGTTGTGCTTTTACCTTCTCGATTTGTTAAATATACTATATTTTTCTTAATTGATGCCAAGTGTTTGGAACGATCTTTCCAATGTTTTGCAATGTACAAACATACTGGCGTCAATAATTTAATTCATTGATGCAGTGGGAGTTCAACAAGACTGAGCCTGGCCTTTTTATATATATATATCATATTTTACTTATGAGGTTTCCTTCATTTTTAAAGGATCACTATAGTGTCAGGAAAACAAACCCGTTTTCCTGACACTAAATAACCCTTGGAGGCAGGGGCGGACTGAGAGCCTTTGGGGCCCCCGGGCAAAATTAGATCCCAGGCCCTTTGAAGGCCAAATATATGTGCATTAAATAAATGTTAAATATAACTCATAATACGGCATTCCTTTGGATGTGTATATTGTGAAGACCTGTGTATCAATGCATGTTTGTATTTGAGTCTGTGTGAATGCACTTGTGCATGTCTGGATGACTACATGTGCTTTTTTGTATATAGTGTCTGTGTGAATGCATATGTGACAGGTGACAGAGTGTGTGAGGGAGAAGGTGACAGGTGGAAGAGTGTGGGAGGTTGTGACAGGTGGCAGAGTGAGGGGGTACCTGGTGGCAGAGTGAGAAGGAGGGGTTGAGTGGTGGCAGAGTGAGGGGGAGACACAGTGAGTGGGGGTGACTGGTGACAGAGTGAGGGAGTGGGTGACTAGTGACAGAGGGAGGGAGAGGGGGTGACTAGTGACAGAGTTAGGGAATGGGTGACTAGTGGCAGAGTGGGGGAGGGAGGGAAGAGATGACTAGTGGCAAAGTGAGGGAGGGAAGAGGTGACTGTGACAGAGTGAGGGGATGACTGGTGACAGAGTGAGGGGATGACTGGTGACAGAGGGAGGGGACTAGTGGAAATGACTAGTGACAGAGGGAGGGAGTGACTAGTGACAGAGGGAGGGAGGGGGTGACTGTCACTAGTCACCCCATCCCTCTCTCTGTCACTAGTCACTCCCTCCCTAACTCTGTCACTGTGTCACCCCCTCACTCACTCTGTCACTAGTCACCCCCTCACTCACTCTGTCACTAATCACCCCCCTCTGTCCCTAGTCACCCCCTTCCTCACTCTGTCACTAGTCACCCCATCCCTCTCTCTGTCACTAGTCACTCCCTCCCTAACTCTGTCACTGTGAAGGAAGGAAGGGGTGACTGGTGACAGAGTGAGGGGATGACTGGTGACAGAGTGAGGGAAGGGATGACTAGTGGCAGAGTGAGGGAAGGAAGGGATGACTGGAGACAGAGTGAAGGAATGCCTGGTGACAGAGTGAGAGAGGGGGTGACTAGTGACAGAGTGAGTGGGTGACTAGTGACATAGTGAGGAAGGGGGTGACACAGTGACAGAGTGAGGAAGGGGGTGACACAGTGACAGAGTGAAGGAGGTGGTGACTGTCACTAGTCACCCCATCCCGCCCTCTGTCACTAATCACCACCTCCCTCACTCTGTCACTAGTCACCCTCTCTTTGTCACTAGTCACACCCTCCCTCACTCTGTCACTAGTCACACCCTTCCTCACTCTGTCACTAGTCACCATCTCCCTCACTCTGTCACTACTCCCTCCCTCTTTCTGTCACTAGTCACCCCCTCAGTCCCTTACTCTGTCACTAGTCACCCCCTAACTCACTATGTCACCAGTCATCCGCTCACTCTGTCACCAGTCATCCCTTCCTTCCCTCACTCTGCCACTAGTCACCCCTTCCCTCACTCTGTCACCAGTCATTCCCTCACTGTAGTGACAGAGTGAGGGAGAGGGTGACTAGTGACAGAGTGAGGGAGTGATTAGTGACAGAGTGAGGGAGGGAATGGGTGACTAGTGACAGAGTGAGGGAGGGGTGACTAGTGACGAGGGGGTGACTAGTGAGGGAGGGTGTGACTAGTGACAAAATGAGGGAGAGGGTGACTAGTGACTAGTGACGAGGGGGTGACTAGTGAGGGAGGGTGTGACTAGTGACAAAATGAGGGAGAGGGTGACTAGTGACAGAGGGAGGGAGATGGTGACTAGTGACAGAGTGAGGGAGGTGGTGTCACGTCACCCCATCCCTCCCTCTGTCACTAGTCACTCCCTCCCTAACTCTGTCACTAGTCATCCCTTCACTCTGTCACTAGTCACCTCCTCCCTCTGTCACTGTGTCACCCCATTCCTCCCTCTGTCACTAGTCATCCCCTCCCTTACTCTGTAACTAGTCACCCCGTCCCTCACTCTGTCACTAGTCACCCCCTCCCTCACTCTGTCACTGGTCATCCCCTCCCTCACTCTAGTGACAGAGTGAGGAGGGGTGACTAGTGACACGGGGGGAGGGGTGACTAGTGACACAGTGAGGGGGTGACTAGTGACAGTGGGGGGAGGTGACTAGTGACAGTGGGGAGGTGACTAGTGACATTGAGGGGAGGTGACTAGTGACAGTGAGGGGAGGTGACTAGTGACAGTGAGGGGTGACTAGTGACAGTGGGGGGGTGACTAGTGACAGTGGGGGGGTGACTAGTGACAGTGAGGGGAGGTGACTAGTGACAGTGAGGGGGGTGAGACAGTGGGGGGGTGTAATTAGTGACAGGAGGGGGGGTGACTAGTGACAGTGAGGGGGTGACTGGTGACAGTGGGGGTGACTAGTGACAGTGAGGGGGGGCACTGGTGACAGTGGGGGTGACTAGGGGTGACAGTGAGGGGGTGACTAGTGACAGGGGGTGACTAGTGACAGTGAGGGGGTGACTAGTGACAGTGAGGGGGGGTGGGACTAGTGACAGTGGGGGGTTACTAGTGACAGTGAGGGGGGTGACTAGTGACAGGGGGGTGACTAGTGACAGTGGGGGGGTGACTAGTGACAGGAGGGGGGTGACTAGTGACAGTGGGGTGACTATTAGTGACAGCAGGTGACTCAGTGACAGTGGGGGTGATCTATGACAGTGGGGGGTGACTAGTGACAGAGGGCGCACTAGTGACAGTGAGGTGACTAGTGACAGTGAGGGGGGGTGACTAGTGACAGTGGGGGTGACTCAGCATTGCGGAGGGGGGATGACTAGTGACAGTGGGGGGGTGACTAGTGACAGTGAGGGGGTGACAGAGTGGGGGGGTGACTACTGGTGACAGTGGGGGGTGACTAGTGACAGTGGGGGGGTGACTGGTGACAGTGGGGGGTGACAGTGAGGGGGGGGAGGGGGTGGTTGGTGCCTACCTGCATCTCTGCTCCCTCTTCTCTCCCCGGCTGCTGCTCCTTCCCCTCGCTGGGCTCTGTGTGAGAGGAGTAAACAGGAAGTGATGTCACTTCCTGGCCCCGCCTCTCCCATCACACAGAGCCGCATGGGAGAGGAAGCCGGAGACCTGGCAGGGAGGAGGTGAAGCTGCCAGGTCTCATGGGGGGGGGAGGTGTGACTAGCAGAGCGGTAGGTTGTGGGGCCCCGTGCTGCATCAGGGGCCCCACAACCTATCAATTAAAAAGTTTTATTTTATTATTTTTTGCTGTTCCAGTTGGAGAGATCTCTGATCTCTCCAGCTGGAACAAGGCTGTGCTGCCGGGCCCCTGACTGCCTCGGGCCCTCGGTCCATGACCGAAGTGCCCGAGTGGTCAGTCCGCCCCTGAATGTTACTAATGTATAATATAAATAAATATATAATATTTTTTATTTTGCTCATATTTACGTGAATGCCATATCATCCTCTTTTTTGACAAATATTTATTCTGTAATTATGTAAAGCTATGTTTTTTGAATATTCATACATCGTTTCACACATTAAGAATGATGTTTTAAAAATATCATTATTTGATTTTTGTGACAAGTCTGAAACTTACCATCTTAATCATGTTCATTGGACATTTCATCACATTCAAAGCAAGCAGGGCACTTTATGGAGATTATATCCGATGAAGGTTAAATTTGAGTAATTGCCCTTTAGAGACATTTATAAATAGCAATCACAATTTTAAAATAAATCGGGTGATGTAGTTGAAAGAATTGCTCTAGTTTGTGCACTGTTCCGTGTCAGTCTGTGACCTCAAAAACCATCTGGCTTTATGTATTTTCTATACTCTATTACATCAGGTGAAAAGCAGGACAGTACGTTTTAGTGATGACTATGATTTTACAGAATACATTCGAAGGTGCTTAACAGTAGAAGTGTGTCATTTTGACATTAGTTGTGTTTCTGTGCTAATGTTGCAGCTTTTTGAACCTAATTGG